CGAAAAAATTGCCACTTTTCAGTTATCTAACGTAAGCAAATGCTAAATTAATGATGGCTATAAAGTTGCTTTTATGCATTTTTTGTGTCCCAGTTGGCACTTTGATGTATTTTCTTGGTATTTAATGAGCCTCTGGGTGATGTGACACAAGTTAACAAATGCAGAACAGCTTCTCGGTTAACTCCTCTAAAACGAAAATGGCCATGTTCATAAAAAACACAAAACTTCTCGCTTCTGATTTAAATCACCACTCCGCTGAGAAATACTACCTAGGCATCATTCTTGATTCTAAATGCAATTGCGAAAAGAATTTGATGGTGAGATTCAAGTAGGATCTTGCGGATTACTACACCTGCTAAATAGCTTTTGCAAAATTTTGAGGACAGCCGCCATACATCACCTATGGTATGTACATCACAGTCAACTGACTGATTGTAGTAACCAGTGGAGCTCTATGTAGTCTAGACAAGGGAAGAGCAAGAAAATAATTCGGAGAGTACAAAGACTCGCATGCCTCGGAATGAGGCACCTCAAACGGGGATTTGCAAGATCTTTCACTGAAACCGTTGCACTCTCTCGTTCATCGATTGGCCGCAAAGGACGCCCTCGGGCTTAGGAAAGCCAATATGTGGAAAACAACTCACTTTGGGTGCGCGAAAATGATGAGTAGTTTAAAAATAGATTCAAAGTTTACTCAGAATGCGGCAATGAAACTCGTACGTACGTTCGATTTACGACAAGAGCAGAATTAAAGATGATAGTACACTGACTGTGCAAAGATGGAGCAGGAAACCGGCGCTGGTCTCTATTGGGAAGACTGGCATATCCTGCAGCTAGTCCTCTACTAAATGCACCGGTTCCAGCAAGAAAAGCCAATGTATTCGTCGATAGCCAAGCGGCATTGTAGGCAATTGGATCTAAGGTACTGAAATAAGGGATTATATGGAAACACGCGATTTGGTATTATTAGCCCATTTTAACGTCACTCTTTGCTGGGCTCGCGGACAATGTCGAATTGAAGCAGTTAATGCGTAGACGAGATATGACTTTGAGATGCCAATCAATAACCGAGACTATAGAACCGCCGAGTAGCAATATTCTGAAGACGATTGATGTATATACAAAATCTCTGACAAATTACTTATAAACCGAAGGAGGTGATTCTGTGAACTCAAAACATTAGGGGCGCGGCTAAACGTGAAACTATGGAAGACTTTCTGAAACTCAAAAGATTAGCAGCTAGAAGAGATCTTACCGGAGTCATTGCAGGACACTGCGATGCTCCAACTATGCAAAATATCAACTGAAGCTAGCACGTTGGGAATGAAGAGGAATCATTTGACCACTTTCCGGACCAAGAATCGAAGCAACTCAATCGACTGCGGCAACAGTTCTTCCCCAGTCTGACAGATATAGAGAATGTGGAACTACTAGACTTATTCAACTTTATTTAGGATATTAAATGGCTCAAGTGGTTAATGTCTGAATTATTCTTTAGTTTCTCTTTCTAAAGGTCAGGGAAATAAGTCTTCTCCACAAGAGACAACTAGCATGTCGCCAAGTAAAAGTATGACACTCACCATACACCTTACAACAAAAAAGGTTGATATCACACTCAACTCATTTTCTCAGTGACAGTGCTATTTGTCAGATACTCCGCAGTGTAGCCTCCAGAGCCTTCCACGAATTCCGCTAAGCCAGGTGATGGTTGGTCGATGATATTGCTTGAGTGTTTGACTTTCAACTGCGTAATAGCCCTTCCATAACATAGCCTCTTTTTGATGAATTTTCCATGAAGTCTAGTGAATATTCATTATTTAACGTCTAACTATTTAGAAGAAAGTCATGGAGCGCAGGAGGAGTGAACATCCGAAAAGCACAGTCAAACGCACCTTAACTTCGCTTTCACTTGACTAACACCGATGCATATTTACTAGTTATGCATATGGTAAAACTACATAACTGTAACACATTTGTAGGTTATTCACCCGTTAGCCCATTTTCTAAGCCTTTGGCGTATTAGAGAATAATTTACGTATAGTAATCATGTATAAGAACACTAATATTAAAGTAATTGCTTTTCACATGTAATTCTTCAAATAAATTGGTTGCCCTCATAAACCTACCTACAACGTACATGTGTGCATTGAGCTTGTGTGAATGTTCTGTTATGCTATTTTTAGCATGACATGCGTGCTCGCCATGCATTATTCCTAAAATAAAATTGAAACATATTAGCGCATAAATACATATGTATGTATACACACATTTTTCTAAGCCAAATTGTGATGGCAGAATTCATTTCAAATATAAGTGGAAATACCTTGCTGGTATTATGAAAAACTTAAAAGCACGTAAAATGTTAGAACAATAAATTCGAATATAAAAAAAACGGATTTTAATTTAAAGCTATTATTTATAGTGAGATGAAAGTTGTACCTAGTATATGTAGTACAGTTAATGTCACAGCTGCTAAAGTCTTAACGTGTATTGAAATGTTTTTTGCATTTTTTTTTGTTTTGTCAGAAGTAGGCACACAAAACAACCATGAAACGGTCGAAAGTACGCGAAAAGTTTAAATTTAAAAGTGCAAAGAAATCCCGATTTATGCAAAAAAAAACCGAAAAGTCCCTGAAAAATCTGAAAAGTTTCAAAAACACGTTTTAAAAGACTCCGAAATAGCATGAAAAGTTTCGAAATAAATTGCAACAAAATCCCAACAATTTTCATTCAAACTGGAAACGGTCGAAAGCCTCGAATAAATCATAAATCCCACAAAATTACCAAAAAAAAATTCCGAAAGGTCCCGAAAAAATCAGATAAACACCGAAAACGTGTTGGCAAAGATCCCGAAAGCTCACGAAAAGTCTGGAAATAAACCTCTACAAAATTTAAAAATTTAAATTCAAATTTTATTTGAATACCCTGTTTTACACGAAAATATATACATATCTTAAACTAAATCTTAATCTGCCTTACCCTGAGTATCCCCGAGTTAACCGAAACTTTTTTAACCGCCCATAGTAAATACATGGAAACCAAAAGTGAAAAGTAAACCGATTCGGGGACAATGAAACTCGTGAAAAGGCTGAATAACTAATGCTAGGGTGATTAACTTTTTTGTTGATGCTAACCCAAAAATTGCGAAATGTGCGGAACACAACACGTGGCAAGTCGAAAATTCTCAAACGAGGTCCAAATGCCCTGGAAACGAACGGAAATATAGGCAAAATTAAGGTTTGATTGAATGTTGAATAAGAAAATTCCTGAATAATTTCCAGTTAAACACGAAAAGTCGCGAGAAATCCCGAAAGCCCCCCATAAACTTCCAATAATCCAGTAAACCTTCGGGAAAGCCAAAAAATTCCGGGTTTTTCATTTTTTGTTCAGTTAATTTTTTACTAATTTTCGAAATTTCGCCTTTTACTTTTTTTCCAAAAAACGTCCATTTTTCGAAAAAAAAGAAAAAATCCTTTGTCAAAAAAAAGCATTATTTTTCCTACAAATAAAAAGCAAAAAATGTTTCTTTTGCATTTGTTTGATGTGTTTGAGATTCATAGTTTTGTTATAGATGTTATACGAGCGGACTCAAATAATACCTTCGAAAAATTGGAAGGATCAATACTTGGTTTCAAAACCCTAAAAATAACTTAAACGATTATTTAAGCTTGGAAATTTTCGCTTTTCCTACCCAAAAAAAAAATCTGCAATAAAAGAAAATTTGTATGTTAGATATTCCTTAACCGATTGAAAATTCATCATGACTATCTATTGAGCGGGATAAAACATGTGAATCTAAATCCAATTAGCAGCGTCTAAGCACGTTTGCTAAATATTTGAAATTAAAGCTTCGAATGTAGGTATGTATGTATGTAGTATGTGCATACCTAATTGCATAACGCATACCCAATGCACCCCTCCTCCAGTCAGCTCTAATAGCACATATTCGTGTTATGGCTGATGTTCAATATTAAAATAATGAATGTAATATTCCCTTTATGGCATTTCGTGCTTCTCCCCCTTAAATATTAGTCTACTTTGTAAGCAAAATTTACCAAAAACAAATTAGGAGAACATGTATAACATACGAATTAAAAATTAAGGGAAAAACCAATTGCACAGCTTATTCCGAACATATGTATATGTACATAGAGATACATATATACATATATGCTCGTATTTATGGCAAGCAGCCAAAAGGCATTCGATACCTCGACATGTGTTAAATTGTGAAAAAGGTACTAGATATGTGTTTATCAAACATTTGTATGTATGTATGTATGTAGCTCAAAACCGTATGCCATTCAAAAAATTAGCAACAGTATGCAAAAATCTCAGGCATTCAATCTAAAATGTACGGTTTGCTCTTATCGGCTAACAACAGCCTCTTCAATTTTATATCCTAATCACAGAGATGAGAGGCGCTCATTATTCATACTTACGCGTACATACATACATACATACATACCCTGCAAAAAATGCGACCAATCCCGGATGCATCCGGGATCAATCGCCGAGGAACATGCGACTACTACTATTTTTCGTCTCTTTGTATGGAACGAATTGATCGCATTTGTTCGAGCATGTCCTATGGAGAGACTAATTGTACCCTTTTTATACCAGAACGGGTATAAATGTAGATTAATCGCCTTCTGTACCCGGATGGGTATGCATGTAGATTAGTCGACTTCTGTACCCTGACGGGTATACATGTAGATTAGTCGCTTCTATAGCTGCACGGGTACAAAAGTAGATTAGT